CATAGCAATCCATAGAAAAATTATTACAATCCCATGAAAAAAACAACTAAAAAAATAACTTAAGACATTAATCAACCAAAAAATGGAACCTATTTACCTTGCTTGAATTTCCTAAAGGTTGGTTAGGCTTTCCTTTTCTTTCTTTTCTTTCTTTTTTTCTTTTTCTTTTCCTTTCCTCTTCCTCTCTTGTTTCTCGTTTTTCTCTCCTAATTTTGGTGGCTACAAACTGTGTAAAAATTTCTTATCATTTGCGCTCTTTCTATATATATATATATACATGCTTAAAGTCTTTGTGTAATTAAGTGTATAAATGGTTGGATTTAATTTGGAAGAGTGGAATGTTAATGGTGAGTCATGAGACAGAGGTGGCAGATTTGAGACAAAATGGGTGAGTTGGTTATTAATTCATTTAATGCATTGCTTAGGTGTCTACTAAAATTTTAGGATAAATATACACCCTAATTAACTTGATTCAAGTAAATAAACATAGTTTCCTTCATGAAATTTTGGAAATTTCTTTTCTTAAAACTCAAAAATACCTTGTCCATTCTTTTCCAAAAGTTCTAGCAGTGATGCTTCAAGACCAATCTACACTAAAATGGGCATAACTCTTTATATATAGGTCTAAAAATCACGAAATTGATAGAGAGCTAGTGGACACATAGACAAACAACTTTCATTCTTTAAGGTTTACCTAGAAAGCACTCTAAAGTCCTCAAATAAATCAGACAAAATTCTAGCATAATGTACTCCTCAACACGCTAATTAGCACACCGATTTTGATATATATATATATATATATATATATATATATATGTATGTATATGTATGTATGTATGTATGTATGTATATATGTATGTATGTATGTATGTATTTTATATATATATATTTACGGGGTTTACGAGAGGGATAGGGAGAGGGTTAGAAAAAGAGAGACAAAGAGGGAGAAGGAGAGAGGGAGGGAAGGAGGGAGGGAGAGGGTGAGAGGGGGAGTGGGAGCGAGTAAGGGAGGGAGAAAAAGAGAAATAATGGGAGAGAGAAGGGGAGTTATATGATTCTAGAAGCTAACCATGGGCTTGGAGCTGACCATAAGCTTAGGGGATGTCAAATGGGCTTGGTACAATACTTCCAAGCTAATAGGCCAAACTTTCTAGTAAATACCAGACTTGATGACCAATCTCATTTTGGGTTGTGGGGGTTGTCTGCGTCATTTTGAGTCGAGAGGAGCAGTTGCAATTTCCATCAAAATATTAACTAAATATTTTATTTAGTTTGAGGGTATATTGACTCCATTTTAATTCCTTCTTTTCTTCCAAGCTTTGTTGTCACACTCCAAAGACTTCATGGTTGATGCTTGGGACTTGGTCCAATGATATGCTTTTAGTGTCTCTAAGTCGGTTTATAAATTTAAGGAGACTAAATTTATGCTTGTTTCTTTCTAGTTTTGCCAAATTTTAGAAGGCTAGATTTAATACTTGTTTAATTATTTTGCTAGATCCTAGATGAGCAATTAATTCCTTGTTTTTTCCAATAGCCTTATTAGGCATAAATAATTTTGAAAGTTGGCAAATCAATTATTCAATCAAAAAAATTACTTATGAGAAATTTTCTCCTTAGTTCTTCCAAGAACTAGTTTTAGAAATTATTAAAAATCTAACAATTCTTATGGCGTTCATAGCAACTTATCACTCCCCTTCTACCTATATGGAGTGTGGTGTCCATATCCTTTTCGAATCTTATTTGACTTTTCAAGATTCATTCAACATGTTCATGGGTTCTCTAACCAAGAGCTAGGTGGATTCACATTAATTGGTATCGAGCATTGGCTCCAATCGGGTTCTTTTCTTTTATTAATTTTAAATCCTTGTAGTTTCATTTAGTCTAAAAATTCTATCGAGTATCAATTTCTTTTTAAAAAAAGTCTATTTATTGGTATTCTTGTTATTCGTCCAGACTTACTAAATATTTAGTTTTATCCTATTGCGCCACTTTTTTTTCTCTCTCTTTCATGTCTATCCATTTGCTTGAATAGAGTTTATAACCAATTGTAGTTACTACACTATTATTTCCCTAGCTAATAATATTTTGAACATCAATACTATTCAAAAAAAAAAGGAGTAAATCGAGTCTATTGAAATAGTATTAGATTTGAAAAAAAAAATATACCGAGCCATGAGTTATCGAAAAAAAAACAAAAGAGTCATGCCATGGAAAAAATATATATTAGGCCATGAGTTGAAGGGAAAAAAAGAGTCGAGGCCATAAAAAGGAAAAAAAGAAAAAAAATTTTGTATCCTATTGTGAGATTACAAAGGGAAAAAAAGAGTCGAGCTATGAGTTTAAGTCATTTGTATTCAACTATTGTTTTGTCTTTATTCTAAATTATCCTTTTGATTGTTTTAGTCGCAAAAAAAAAAATAATAAATCTCGTCCTTATGTCATTGCATCAATTGGTTGTATTTATTCAATTCTATCCTTGATTTAATCCTATTGTGAAAATTGAGTTATTTTGTCAATTAGGATTCGTTTAGCATTGTGTACTCAATTCTATCCGAAATTTTAATTAGTCGGTATGTAACTTTGTGGTTAAATTCTATCCAATTCCATTCTACGATCTTGGTTTTTATCCATTACTCATTTCGTTCGAAGTCGGTTTTAGTTTAAGTTTGGTTCGTTGTCCTTTTTTTGTCCGAAATTAATCTTGCTAGTTTTTTTTTATTAATTCTTTTCAATTCCATCGTTATTAATATTCTTGTGTCTTTTAAAATTGTGCTAAAATTGGAGTTCATGATCTAATACTATGCTACCAAATTTGAGCTATGGAATTAAGCCAGTTTAATAATGCTCTTGTTCCCAAAAGTAATTATGGGTGATTAAAAAAAATCAGCTTGATTATGTTCATTATTGTCGTTTGAAATACTATACACCTAATTAGGTTTGTTAAGTTGCTTGAACATATTATTTGCCACTTTAAGAATTTGTTTAATTCTTGTTAGTTTTAGGGTTAGTTTGCAAAAGAACTATAGGTTTGAATTTGAGTGGTAAAAAAGGCAAGAGTGCATGAGCTTATTTTAAAGAAAAAGCCCAAAAAAAAATATATAGCAAACACGAGTATTGAGTGCCATCAAATTCAAATGAAACACCCGAGGGAGTGATTGTGAGGTTATTTTCACTAACTTTATTTTGTGTAGGATATATAAATCATGTCAAAAGACAAAAAACCAATGGAAGATGTTGGTCGGAACCTAGCTTTCCAAGTGAATATCGTGTCGAAACGTGTCAATAAATTCAAAGGTTAATGCTTGATGTGAGAGATAGGTTAGATGAGCATGATAATGCCATACATAAGTTGCATGACCGAAGGGCACCTAATGTAAGAGGGATTGTAGGTCAAGGATTAGGAGATGAGGGAGAAGTAAATGATAGTGATGATGGTTATGGATATCGAATGAATTGGGTAGACTAGGATTCAATAGGGATGGTCTAAGAAATTAGATGCGGAGGGATAATGTGGATCGATACTTGGGTAATATTAAAATGAATATCCCATAATTGTATGGTAGGAATGATCTAGATGTCTATTTAGAGTGGGAAAAGAAAGTTGAGTTGCTATTTAAGTGTACAATTATTTTTTGGAAAAAATAAGTAAAGGTCGTTATAATTGAATTTACTAACTATGCCATCATTTGGTTGAATTAGTTAGTACTAACTAAGAGAAGAAATGGGGAGAGACCTATTAGTACTTGGGATAAGATGAAAGCAATCATGAGGAGGAGATTTGTTCTAATAAATTATTATAGGGACATGTACTAAAGGTTGCGAGTACTTACTCGAGTTCTATGAGTGTGGAAGATTATCATAAGGAAATGGAAGTAGCCATCATAAATGTCGATGTAGATGAGCATAGGGAAGCCATTATGGCACGATTCTTGCATGGGTTGAACAACTAACATAGTGGAGTTACAACATTATGTTGAGTTGGAAGATTTAATACACATGGCCATAAAAGTGGAAAGGCGAGATCAAGAGGAGAGGCCTTTCATGGTTAAGTCAATCTTTAGGTTTTTCGTCTCTATGGAAAAAAATGGAGTGTAAAGGAGGAGAGGGAAAGATATAAGTCCAAAATCATTGCATTTAGAGGTAAGGAGGAGATGGCTAATTTCAAGCCCAATATCAAATTGTCTAGAAGTAAGGAGGTGCTTCCTAATCAAGAAAGAGGTAATCCTAAATCTCAATCAACTACAAATAGAGACATTCGATGTTTTAAATCCATGGGTAAGGGTCATATTGCTTTTAAGTGTCTAAATAGGGGGCAATGGTGTTGAGTGAAAATAGGGAGATAGAGTTAGAAGGTGAGTCCGAAGTTGAAATTAAGTCCGCAAATGAGAGTGAAGGTGAGGAATATCTAATGGATGAGTCACTAGTTGTCATACATGCTTTAAGCATGCAAGTTAAAAAAGAGGAAGAGGTACAAAGAGAGAACATATTTCATACTCGTTGTCACATCAATAACAAAGTTTTTAGTTTAATAATTGATGGGGGTAGTTGTGTAAATGTTATTGGTATTGTACTTGTTGAAAAATTGAAATTACCTATTGTCAAAAATCCCTGGCCATACAAATTGCAATGGTTGAATGATTGTGGAGAAACCAAAATAAATAAACAAGTGTTAGTGTCATTCTCGATAGGCGAGTATAATGATGAGGTTTTGCATGATCTTCTTCCTATGCATGCTAGTCATGTTTTATAAGGCTGACCATGGTAATTTAATAGGAAAGTTAAACATGATGGATTAAGGAATAGGTACTCCTTTGTAATGGGGGTAAAAATATAACACTTGTTCCTTTGTCACTAAAACAAGTTCATAAGAAACAAATGAAATTGAGAGAAGAAAATGAGAGAAAACCAAATGCGTTGAGGGTAAGAAAAAAGAAAAGGAGAAAAAAATACAAAGGTATTTTTGAGAGAGAGTGGATCTAAGATTATGTTTTTCTCAAAAGATGGACATCAAAGAGGCATGGCCAAATGACCACGAATCCAAGTCGGGAAAGAAAATCGAGTTGGCTATTGCATCATCAAAAAGGTATGATTTAATTTCTACATTTTGTATCAAGTCGTTGGAATTTGAAAATACTCAAGAAATGTGTGAGTTTGAATCTAAATGTTTACTTTGGAAACAAAGATTGAATTTGCTTGAATGCTCGATGTGCAATTTGTTTTTAAGGAAATCAAATGGAAAAAGTGTGATGGGAATGAATTTTTTATTGTTTTCTTTTGGAATTAATTATCAATTTCATCTACTAATTCCATTAGATTTGTTGGTGTTGTTTCATATAGATGATATTTTGATTGGAAAAATAAAACTTGGAATTGTTGAAAGCATCCATGAAAAGGCTTATGAACCAAGTGAAAGAAAAAATAGAAAGTTTTCATTTGAAGTTAAATTAGGTTGAAAGAAATTTGGAATTAACCTAGATTATTTGTTTTCGTTATAAGTGCGAGAAAGAAAATTTTCATGCCAACAAAATTTTAGATTGCAACCAAAGGGTGACCTTAATGAAATCATACATCAATTTGAATTACCAAGTAAGTATGATGACAATTTAATTTTCAAAGATTATGAATTTTTATGGGTTGATGTTGGAAACGATTTGTGGATGAATCCTTTTAAAGAGAGAGGATCGATATGATTCTAAAAGCTAATCATGGGCTTGGAGCCGACTATGAGCTTGGGGGATGTCAAATGTGATTGGTGCAACACTTCTAAGCTGATGTTCAAACTTTCCATTAAATACAAGACTTTAAGACCAATCTCATTTTTGGCTATGGTATTTGTTGGTTCATTTTAGGTCGAGAGGAGCAGATGCAATTTGCATCAAAATATTAACTAAATATTTTATTCAGTTTGAGGGTACATTAACTCAATTTTAATACCTTCTTTTCTTCCAAGCATTGTTGTCGCACTCTAAAGGCTTCATTGCTTGGTGCTTAGGACTTGGTCCGGTGATATGCTTTTAGTGTCTCTAAGTCGGTTTACAAATTTAAGGAGACTAAATTATTTATGGTTATTTAGTTCTAAGTCAAATTATCAAATTTGAGAGGGTTAGATTTAATACTTGTTTAAATTAGTTTGCTAGATCCTAAATGATCAATTAATTCCTTGGTTTTCCAAGTAGACTTATTAGGCATAGAAAAATATGTAAGTTGGCAAATCAATTATTCAATCAAAAAAATTACTTATGAGAAATTTTCTCCTCGGTTCTTCCAAGAACTGCTTTCGAACTTATCAAGAATGTTACAACTCTTATGACATTTATAGCAACTTATCACTCCCCTTTTCCCTGTCTAGAGTGTGGTGTCCATATCCTTCTCAAATTTGATTTGGCTTTTCAAGATTCATTCAACTTCTTCGTGGGTTCTCTAGCCGAGAGCTAGGTGGGTTCGCATCGGGGAGAGAGATGGAAAGAGATGGAGGGAGATGAGGAGGGAGGTAGAGAGAAGTAGGGAGAGAGAAAGAGCAAGGGAGGGAGGGAGAGAGAGAGAATAGTAAAAAGAGTGGGAGAGAGAGGGATAAAGAGATAGAGATGGAAGGAGAGGGAGGGCGTGGGAGAGAGGGAGGGGAGTGGGAGCGAGCGAGATTGAGAAGATTTAAAGGGAGAGAGAGAGATGAAGGGAGAAGGAGAAAGGGAGAAAGTGAGGTAATGGAGGGGAGAGAGAGAGGAAGGAAGAGAATGGAGAGAGAGGGAGAGAGAAAAGGAGAAATGGAGAGTGAGGGAGATGAGGAGGGAGAGAAAGAAATAGGAGGGATGGAGAGATAGAAAGGGAGAGAGGGAGGGGAGAGGGAGTCTCTCTCCCTCTCCCTCTCTCCCTTCCTCTCTCTCCCTTCCCCTTCTCTAAGTCTTCCTCTCTCCCCTAATCTCTCCCTCCCTCCCTCCCTCCCTCTCTCACTCTCCTTCCCTCTCCCTCTCTCTTTCCCTCTCTCCCTCCATATTTACCCCTTCTCTCTCCTTGCTCTTGCTCTCTCGCTCTTTCCCCTCTCTCTCCCTCACCTAATCTCTCTCTCCTTCCTCTCTCTCCATCTCTCTTCATCACCTAATCCCTCTTCATCAATCTCTCTCTCCCCTCCCTCTATCAACCTTTTTCTCTCTCTCACTTTCTCTCCTCCCTCCCTCTCCCTCCCTCTCTCTATCTCTACCTCCCTCCTCCACTTCTCTTTTATGCTCTCTCTCCATATCTCTCTCTCATAGTCTTCCTCTCTCAATCTCTCCCTCTTCCCCTCTACTTCTCTATCTTCATATATCTCTCTCTCTCTCACTAGCTCCTCTCTTTATCTCTCCCTCTCCTTGACTCTACTCCCTCGCTCTCTCCCTCCCTCCCTCCTTTTCTCCTTTCATCACTTAGCCTCTCACTCCCCTTCCTCCCTCCCTCCATCCCTCTCCATCTCTCCCTCACACTCCTCTCTCTCCCCTCTCTCTCTTACTCCCTCCCTATGTCTTCCTCTCCCTCTCCCTCCCTTTGCCTTTCCCTCTCTCTCTGTCCCTCCCTCCGCCTTTCCCTCTCTCCCTTTTTCACTCCTTTCCCTCTCCCTCTCTCAATCTCTATCTTTCTTGCTTTCTTCCCTCCCTCTCTCTCAACCTCTTTTCCTCTCTTCCCTCTCTCTCCCTCTCCTTTTCTCTCCCTTTCCCTTCCCTTCTCTCTCTCCCTCTCACTATCTATGTATCTATCTCTCTCTCCCTTTCCTCTTTGCCCTCTCTTTCTCTACCTCTCTATTTCTTTCTCCCTTCTCTCTCCCCTTTCTCTCTATCTCTCTCCCTCCCTTTCCCTCGATCTTTCAATCTTTCTCCCTCAATCTCTCCTCTCTCAATCTCTCCCTCTTCCCATCCACTTCTCTCTCTTCCTTTTTCTCTCTCTCTCACTCTTTTCTCTCTCACTCTTTTCTCTCTCACTCTTTCCTCTCTCTCTCTCCTTCTCCCCGACTCTATCTCTCTCTCCTCTCTTCATCATTTTCTCTCTCTCTTTTCATCCTTCACCCTCTCACTCCCCTTCCTACCTCTCTTTGTCCTTCTATATCTCTCCCTCACACTCTTCTCTCTCCCTCTCTCTCTCTTTCTCCCCACCTATGTCTTCCTCTCCCTCTTCTTCTCCCTCCCTCTACCTTTCCCTCTGTCTCCCTCCCTCCCTCCCTCTACCTTTCCCTCTCTCTTTCTCTCCCTCTATCTGTCCCTCTCTCTTCCTCTCTATCTCTCTCCCTCTCCCTCCCTCTCTCTACCTCTCTCCCTTTCTCCCTCTTCTCCCTCTCTCCCTTTCTCCCTCCCTCTCTCTATCTCTCTACACCTCTCTCTCCCCCTCTCCCTCTCTCCCTTTCTCCCTCCCTCTCTCTATCTCTCTACACCTCTCTCTCCCCTCTCCCTCTCTCCCTTTCTCCATCCCTCTCTTCATCTCTCTACCCTCTCTCCCCCTCTCTCTACCCCTCTCTATCACTCCCTTAGTCTCTCTCTCTCCCTCTCCCTCTCCCTCTCCCTCCCTCTCTCTTTCATTCCCCCACTCCTCCCTTTCTTAGTCCTCCTCTCCTTCCATCTCCCTTTCTCTCCCTCACTCCCTCCCTTTCTCACTCTACCTCTCCCTTCCTCTCTCTCTTTAATTCTCTCTCCTCCCTCTATCCCTCTCCCTCTCTCTCTCCCTCTCTCTCCCTTCTATCCCTCTGTCTCTTCATTTCTCTCCTTTTATGTCTATCTCCCTCCTATTCTCTCATTCTCTCTCACTCTTCCTTCCTCACCATCTCTATCCTCTCTCTTCCCTCCCTCTCACCCTCTCTCTATATCTCTCCCTCTCCTTCTCCCCAACTCTCTCTCTCTCCCCCTCTCCCTCTCCCTCATTACCTCCCTCACTCCCTCTCTCCTCTCTCCCTTTCACCCTTTTTCTCTCTTTCACTCAATCGCTTTCTATCTCATGCACACTCTCCCTCCCTCACCATCTCTATCCTTCTCTCTTCCCTCCCTCTCACCCTCTCTCTCCATCTCTCCCTCTCCCCATCTCCCTCTCTCTTATTACCTCCCTCACTCCCTCTCTCCTCTCTCCCTCTCTCCTCTCTCCCTTTCACCCTTTTTCTCTCTTTTACTCAATCGTTTTCTATCTCATACACACACTCTCTACCTCTCCCTTTCAATCTCTCTACCACTCCCTCTTTCCTCCTCTCTCCCCTCTTCCTCTGTCCCTCTCTCTCCCACTCTTCTTCTCTCCCTCTTTATCTCTCCCTCTCTTTCCCTTCCTCTCCCTCTCTCCCTTCCTTTCTTCCTTCTTCTCTCCTTTTCTCTCCATCTCCCACTCTTTCTCCCTCTCTCTCCTTCCCTCACCCTCTCTCCCCCACCATCCCTCTCCCATTCCCTCTCACCCCATCACTTCCCCTCCCTCTCACTCACTCACTCTCTCTCTCTTCTTCTCCTCTCCTTCTCCCTCTCACTCCTACTCCCTCTCCCCCTCCCTCTCCCCCTCTCCCTATCTCTCTCCCTTTCTTCTTCTTTCTTTCCCTTACTCTCTATCTCCCTCACCTTCTCTCCCTCTCCATCTCCCTTTCTTGCTCCCTCTCCCTTCATCTCTCCCTCTTTCTATCTCTTTTGCTATCTCTCTTTCCCTCTCTCCCCATCTCTCTCCCTCTCTTTACCACTCTTTCCATCTCGTTCTCCTTACCTCTCCCTTTCTTACCCTCTATCTCCCTCCCTCTTTCCCTCTCTCTCCTTCCCGCACTCCCTCACTTACCCTCTCTCTATCTCCCCCTCTCCCTCCTACTACCTCTCTCCTTCTTTCCCTCTCTCTCACTTTCTCACCTTCCTTCTCTATCTCACTCACCCTCTCTCCCCCTCCCTCTTACTCCCTCTCTCTTTCTCTCTCCTTTTCCCTCCTTCTCCCCTCCCTCTCTCCCTCTCTCTCCTCCCATTCTCACTCCCTTTCCCCCTATCTTTCTCTTCCCTCCTTTCTCCCTCTCTCCCTCTCTCTCCCCCCATTCTCACTCCCTCTCCCCATATCTTTCTCCCTCTATCTTTCTCTCACCACCTTTCTCCCTCTCTCCCTCTCTCTCTCCCCCTATTCTCACTCCCTCTCTCCCTATCTTTCTCTCACCTCCTTTGTCCCTCTCTCCCTCTCTTTGTCCCTCCATTGCTCACTCACCTTCCTTCTCCCTCTCCCTATATCTCACTCCCTCTCCCCACTCCCTCTCACTCCTCTCTCTTTTTCTCTCCCTCTCTCTTTCTCTCCTCCCTCTCCCTCTCTCTCTCCCTCCCTCTCCCTCTTTCTTCCTCTCTCCCCCTCTATCACCCCTTTTCTTTCTCACTCTCTCTCCCATTATCTCTTACCTCTTTTCTCTCTCTCTCGCTCCATCCCTTCCTCTTTCTTACTCCCTCTCTCTCCCCTCTCTCCATCTTTCTTTTTCTCAACCTGTCTCCCCCTCTCTCTCCATATCTCTCTCTTTCCCTCCATCCCTTTCTTTCTCTTCCTCTCCCCAATCCCTTTGTATCTCTCTTGCTCCTTCTCTCTATCTCTCTCTTTGCATTACCCTTTCTTAACCTCTTTATGTCTTTCCCCCTCTTTTAGTCTCTCTCTCACCTTCTCTCTCCCTCTTTCGCTCTCTCTCCCTTTCCTTCCCTTTCTATGTCCCTCTCTTCCTCCCTCTCTCTCTCTCCCTCTACCTCTCATGCTCTCTCTCCCTCTCTCTCCCTCTCTCTTCCTCCCTCTCCCTCTCTCTCATACCCTTCT